TGGGTGACCTTGAGCAAGTCACACTCTCTCAGCCTCAGGGGAAGGCCACGGCAAACTTTGTCTGAACAAATTTTGCCACGAAAGACGCATGATAGGTTATCCTTTGTGTAAGTTTGTTCCTGTTCTTTCTGGTTTTATACTGTGTTAAAATAAACCCAGTATATTCCTGGGCTTTTTTACCTGGGGAACTGGTACTCGGATACTGGAAGTTGAGAAAAAATATTATAAGACGAACAAAACGAATGAGTCAGCATGGGGCAGTGGTCTGAGTGTTGGATTATGACTCTGGAGATCAGGGGTGAAATTCCCACTCAGTCATGAAATCCTCTGGACGATGTTGGGCAAGTCACACTCTCTCAGCCTCAGGGGAAGGTGATGGCAAACCTCCTCTGCACAAATCTTGCCAAGAAAACCCCACGATAGGTAGGGTTGCTATAAATCAGACACGACTTGAAGGCGCACACAACAAAAATTACCAATCTGTAAATGTTTTAAGTCAGATGGATGGATGACAGTGATTTGCTTTTTTTAAAATAATCTGGTGATGGTGGAGCATCTCTGCTTTATGTACCTATGATAGTGAAAGTTACAAAACAAGAGAAGAGGAAGGAGGGGAAGCATTGTATCTGGAAATGGATGTTTTAAATAATCTGTGTCCAGCTCCTGTGTATTTTCCCCATTGTGATGCTTGAGGATGGTGATCTTAGGGGTGCATCTACACTGTAGAGATCATGCAGTTTGACACCACTTTAATGCCAGGGCTCCATCCTACAGCATCCTGGGATTTGTAGTCTTGTGAAGCACCAGCTCTGTTTGGCAGAGAAAGCTAAAGACCTTGCAAAACTACACATCCTAGGATTCCATAGGATGGAGTGACAGCACTTAAGGAGAAGCTTTATTTCTACAGTGTAGATGCACTCTAGTGGCTTGGGCTGTAGCAAAGCTAGGTAAAGTAACCTTTTGGACTGGAAGACCCACAATCCCCCAGCATGTGGCCAAATGGGCTGGGTGCCTCTAAAGGTTGCCATTTTTAAAAAAATAACTATCCCAAGCACTGGGTTGCAATGTGTTTTCTTTCAAATAGGCCTTTATGCTGGAGTTAGGTAGAAACATAGAAGGGTTGTAATGAGAAAGTGGGGAAAGGAGTAAGAATTTGGGAAGTTTTTCCTCTGTAATAGAAGCCAGTGGCTGCAAACACTTTTCTCATTCTACAACAATGGCATGTGAGAAAGGATCAGGGCCCCCCTTTGCTCCCCTTAACTCAGGAGTGGCAAATCCTGCAGCCATCCAGTTCTTGTTGGATTGAAGCTCCCATCATCCCTAGCCAACATAGCCAATAATGAGGAATGCTGGGTGCTGCAGTCGAACAACTTCTAGAGGGTGCATCCAGACTGAAAAATCCTATATTTTGTTCTTGTTGGGTGCATCCAGACTGATTAAAAAGACCACAAAGTCCCAGGATTTTTCCTGTTCTTTCCCATTTTATTTCGGAAATCTATACATGGTGTTGTATGTGTGCTTTGAAGTAATTTGTGATGGGAATTTCTTGGTCAGATTTGTTCAGAGGAGGTTTGCCTTTACCTTCCCCTGAGTCTGAGACAGTGTGACGCGCCCAAGGTCACCCAGTGAATTTCCATGGCTGAGTTTGGATTTGAACCCTGGTCTTCAGAGCCATAGTCCAATGCTCAAAACACTGCACCACTCTGGCTCTCATACATTTTGTTTATATCTGAATATTTTCTGTCTGTGTCCAGTATGATCATAGACATTTTATGCCAACTAGTTCCCCAGGGTGGTTTATTTTAACCCAATATAAAACCAGAAAGAACAGGTACAAAATTGGGACTTTTCAATCAGTATGAATGTGCCTGTTCTTTTCAGTTTTGTACTGGGTTAAAATAAACTGACCTGGGAAGCTGGTCTAGAAAGTATTTACTACGAGTGACAGAAAATATTCTGGCATAAACAAAACATGTATGGATCTCTAAAATAAAATCAGAAAAAATAGGAACAAAATCTGGGATTTTCTAGTCTTTTTAATCAGTCTTAATTTAATTTAATTTAATTTAATTTAATTTAATTTAAATTGTGACCAAAGCATGGAATTCACCTGGCTGGCATTGGCCCAGTTATCCTGACCTACCTTGTAGGTTTGTTGCAAGGAGATGTGTGCAGCATCTTGAGATCTTTGGAGAAAAAGTGGAATATAAATGTAATAAATATATCTTAAATAAGCACCACATGGACATAGATGGGAGTTGAGAATTCACATTCTGTCCAATTTCAAAATGAAGGCTGTTTGCACCAAGGCTCTTGTTTCCTAAGCAGCAGATGGACTCAAGGCTGGCTTCCAACATGCTGCAATGTGGGATTTCTGCCCAGTGAGGTGGGCATGTGGCTTATCATGCCCTGTGTCAGATAGCGCTCCTTCAAAGGCTGCAGAGATTTATATTTAGAATTTTCTGGGCAGAACAAAACACCCCGAGTGTTTGCGGATAGGGAACAGACATGGATGAGAGCAGTGAAGGAAAAGGCATTTTGTTTTTCCTGATTACAGATGGTATCAGACCTCCAACCCAACCTGTAGACCAAGATGGGCAAAATGTGGACCATGGGCCACGTATGTCCCCCCTGGACCATTCTTTGGGTCCCAAGAGTCAGAGTAAACCAACAGTGGCATGGTTTGTTTCTTCAGCCAAGCAGAACTCCACTTATTGCACAATGTATTGTCATTGTGTGCTTTCCTGTTGTACAGCAGTTGACCCCATCCATCACTATGGACCATCCTTAAGAAACCTCAATGATTCCCAAACTTTGGTCCTTTAGGAGTTTTGAACTTCATCTCCCAGACGTTCCAGTAAGCTTGGCTGATGTTCAGGGATTCTGGGGGCTGAAGTCCAAAACCCCTGGAAAAGCAAAGTTTGGGAACCATGATCTTAGGTAGTTCTCCTGGGTTTGTTTGTGCAGCTGGTTACACCAGTGTCTTCTACAACCCAGAAGAGAGTATTACCCTTGCACAATCTCCAAAGAAGTGCAACTTCCTTTGTGATGCCATGTTGTTGTTGTTTGCCTTCAAGTTGTTTCCAGCTTACGGCAACCATTACCTGAATAATCACAGGGTTTTCTTAGCAAGATTTGTTCAGAGGGGATTTGCCATTGCCTTCCCCTGAGGCTGAGAGAATGGGACTGGCTCAAGGTCACCCTACGGTTGTGCAGGTTTTGAATCCTGGTCTCCTAGCGTCTTACACCGTGTCGGCTAAACGTCTATTTCAGTGCTTACCTTTAACCTGCCAAGAAGTGTTTCACAAGATCTGGAGATGTGTAAAATCCAATTGATAGCCATGACCCATTCTTCTAAAAGGTGTGACTGAACTCCATTTGTATAGGAATGTGCAAATCTCAAATTCCACAAGCATCCTTAGCTTGTACAACTATGAGAGGTAGAGAAATCCTTATCGCAAGAGTTTGGCTCATGGGGACCTAGTTGGACTTGTAAGTGGTGACCTCCCTGCTGGGCAAAAGTTAGGCAAATAAAGTTTCACATAGATAAGATAAGGTGGGGCAGGGGTGTCGGTGGTGGATGTACAAGCCAGTACCCAAATGCCTTAGAAAATGCAGTCACAAGATTCACGAAAGTAAATTACAGGGTGCCTTCTGTGCCAGAATTGGCTTTAGTTCTAGGCCTCTCCAAGATTTCTTTCGGTGCTAAAAATTGACACACATTATTAATATATTTCTCTACCTCCAAAATTCCAGACGATAATGTGTGAGAGGCTGCATCTGCAGTGCAGAAGTACAGTAATCCAGTCTGACACCACTTTAATTGCCGTGGCTCAATGCTATGGAATTCTGGGTACTGTAATTTGTTGGGGCACCAGAGTTCTGCTCTAGTGCTGCAACAAACTGCAGTTCCCAGAATTCCATGGCATTGAGCCAGGGAAGTTAAAAGTCAAACCGGATTACTGTACTTCTGCACTGCGGATGCAGCCTCTCACACATTATTGTCTGGAATTTTGGACTATCAATAATTCAGATTCCATCTATATTCTAGGAATTGGATTGAGGTATTGTTGGGTAATGTGGCACACTCCGTTATTGTGATCCTATCAGTAGCTATTTAATTCCGATGATTTGTCAGTTTGATTGGAATAGCACTCAGCAGCAATAATAATAATAATAATAATAATAATAATAATAATAATAATAATAATAAGCTTTGGTTGCATAATCACTACTCTGTTACATAGAGCCTGGGAACTATTCATTCCAAATAGTATACATTATCTTTTTGTGACCACAGGCTAATGGGTTTGCTGTATATGAGGCTTCCATTATTACTCTGTATTTTTCTGCTGCTGTCCATTTCTTCTGCTGTGGCTGGCTTTCCAGTAACATCAAAGTATCTTGCCCTGCTTGCCTAGCAAAAGATACTGAATCCTGTATAGACTATTTTTCATCTGATATCCAGAAATTCCAACATACGATGTGATCCTTATTGACCAGGGTGGTAACGATTTGTTTTTATGTTTCTCCACCATATTTAATATTTTTTTTTCTGGGTGAGACATATAGTTTGGCCTTTCTGCAAAAGCTTGTCAGATGCTGAAGGCCTATTTGTAGCAACACTGTTTTCAGCACAGCCTCTTGCTTCATGGAAGCATGCACTCCGAATAATGCAAAAAGGTTGTGCCAGTGGGAAAGAAAGGCATGTGTTTCTCTTAATCTGGAAGTTTAATTGTACCGTCGGCCCTCCATATGCATGGAATCTGCATCCGTGGCTTGAAAACACATGCACATATGTATATATTAAATTTTACCATGATGCAACTATGGTTGCTGCTATACTGCAGAATGAATGCAGTTTGACACTGCTTGAACTGCCATGGCTCAATGCTATGGAATTACAGGATTTGTAAGTTTGTGAGATGTTTATCCTTCTCTGTCAGAGGGCACCGGTGCCACAGCAAACTGCAAATCCCAGGTTTCCATAGGATGAAGCCATGGCAGCTAAAGTGGTATCAAACTGCAGTGTGGCAACAGTCATAGTTACAAAATTGTAAAATTATCATGGCAGACTGATGCAGGCTGTCAGCCCATGTCTTTAAGGTGTTGGAAACTCTGTTAGTTTTCACAAAAGGATCATTTTCCATCCCCACCTGGTCCTGTGTCTCTTGAGAAAATCCAGAAGGGTCAAGGACACTCGAATAATATGGGAGAAGGGAATCTCACATAATTCACTGGAAACAGTGCACATTATATTGCTGTTTCTCTCTAACTCTTGAAAAACAACATGAGTGTGGAGCAAGCTTTAAAGTTCTCCAGATCAAAGCATGTGTGCTCTCTAGTTCTCCAGAATGCTTTACTGTGCAAGAGAGCCAACAAAGCAAAAAGAGGGAAGGAACAAGGGTTTTCCTGGGTCTATCATTTTGCCCATGGCAGTGCATGATAACGCTAAAACAGTAAAAGCCAGTAACTGACTAGGAGACTGGCAGATGAGATAAAGTGTGCTTTTATTTCTTTACGCCTTGTTTGCTCGAGTTTCACCGCTGCTGTTGACAAAAGATTTGGGGGGAAGTGAATTCTCACACTAGTGAGTGTTTTTCAAATGATGGTCCTTCCTTTCTTTTTCTCCTTTCCCGTTTTCCTTTCCTTTCCTTTTCCCCCCTTTTCCTTTCTTCCTTTTTCTTCCTTTTCCATTCCTCTTCTTTTTCCCTTCCTTTCCTTTTCTTCCTTTTTGCTTTTCCTTTCCCCTTTTCTCCCTTCCCTTCCTTTCCCTTCCCTTCCCCCTTTCTCTTTCCCTTTCTTTCTTTCCTTCCCTTTTCTCTTTCTTTTTTCCTCCCCCCCTTCCTTCCATGTGTCCTGAAATGTCCCCCATTTACTGTTCTCAATTTTTCCTTTGTTTGCATCTTCCCTCCCTAGGAGGAAGATGAAAGATTCCCGGTGCCTCACAGTGGCTACTGCTTTGCTGACCCTCGTAGCCCTCAAAGCCTACATGGAGTGGAGCGCTGAGCAGGTTGAAGGCTTCCCAACTCCTCATGGCATCGGTTGGCACAGCAGCTCCATCACGCCCGCCCAACCCTTGAATGAAGACCTGCCAGTCTTTGTTCTGCAACACTTCAATGCTTCCTTGCAGCAGCTGCGCCAAAGCATCCCAAAGAATAAAGCTTATTGGAATGAGAAACAACACCGTAACTTCCGGGTCCTAGAAGGTGACTTGGAGGCCAACGCTTCATGGAACGAATGCTTTGGTCCCGGAGCAGCAGACAGAGTGGCCAAGATCAAAGATTTCGGATCCTATCCAGAGCTTTACAGAAACTTCATTTTATATGACGAATGCCGGACCTTTCCGCTCTTGCTCAACCAGCCGACCAAGTGCACCAGCAGCAGCAAGAACCACACTTTCCTACTCCTAGCCATCAAATCTTTGCCCAGTAACTTTGCTGCCCGCCAGGCTATACGGGACACGTGGGGGCATGAGGGTGTCCCTGGGGGTTTAATAGTCCGTACTGTTTTCTTGTTGGGCACAGCCCAGAGCCGTTCTGGGCCTCGCTTGCAACGGCTGGTAGAATACGAGAGCCAGACTTTTGGTGACATCTTGATGTGGGACTTTGAGGACACATTTTTCAACTTGACCCTGAAAGACTACCTCTTTCTCAACTGGACCCTAGAGCACTGCCAGAAGGTCCGTTTCATTCTCAAGGGGGATGACGACGTTTTTATCAATACGCCCAAAGTCTTGGATTTCCTGGGTTCTTTAGATGTTCAAAAGCCACTATATACGGGGCAGGTGATGGCAAATGCATCGCCATTCCGCGTCCGCAAAAGCAAGTACTATGTGCCAGAATCATACTATGTAGGGCCTTACCCAGCTTATGCAGGGGGCGGTGGCTACATCTTCTCGGGACCACTAGCCCGGTGGCTTCACCTCGTTTCTCGACACATAGCTTTCTATCCTATTGATGATGTTTACACGGGACTTTGCTTCCAAGCCCTGGGTATCCAGCCTGAGTCCCATCCTGGCTTCCAGACCTTTGATATCGCAGAGAAGGACCGCGATGATCCCTGTGTGCATAGCAAGCTACTTTTGGTGCACCGACGTAGCCCTCAGCAGACCCTCCAACTCTGGAAACAAATTACAAACCCAGAACTCAAGTGCTGAGGGGTGTCAGGGACGATCAGACCTCTGAGTAGGGAGGTTTTAGGAGCATCATGTGGACAATGAGAAGCAGAGGCAGAATGATATGGGACTGACATGTCTTCTGTGTCCCAACTGGGATTCTGTTCTACAGAAGCACCTCCTGCACGTGGCAGGTGGTGGGTGAGCATAGCCTCCTTACATTCCAGATATGGAAGTAGCATATGTCTGAAGGACAAGCCATTGCCGAAATGCCTGGCTGATGAACTCCCTAGAGCCAGTTGGCTGGCCACTGTTGGAAACAAGAGCACTAGAAGAAAGAGGACATTGGCTCACTTTGGTTGGCCTCTTCTTAAGCTTGTTCTCTGAGTTGCCTTCCTACTCTGGCAAAGGAAGGTGGGGAGGGAAGAAATGTGAAGACATAAATAAGGGGCAACTTTCTTGAAAGACTGGTGCAGGGGAATGAAGATGTTACCATTTTCTTAGCAGGGCTACTGGAAAGGAAAAGGATTTAAGATGGCTCCTTTTGTATCACAGCCTGGTCCTCTGGATGTTGTTGGACTGTACCTCCCAGCATCCATAGCCAGTACAGCGAATGGTGAGGAATGCCGGGGCTCAACAATATCTGGAGGGTAGCACATCTCCCACACCTGTTCTCTATCCTTAAACTCCATGTGAGTTAATGCATTACGATGGGCAGAAGTATTTCGTTTGGCCTACTGCTGGCGTGTACATAAATGATAAGTTAATACCGTACATTTAAAAACTGACAGAGGTGAAACATAGAACCATGGGCAATGGGCAGGAATGACAGTTTAAGATTAGGGAATGTACTTTCTCCAGATGTTGAAGGTGATTATTCTTAACCCTTTCTCAGGTCTTTCTGGTTGAAAAGTTGTCCAGTAATCAATCCCTTAAAACCTATTTTGCTAAACTCCCAGTCAGAATTGAAGCTCTGTAGTCCTACTTTCATTCAAGGCAATACATTTCAGGTAAGTTTTAAAAAATGCTTTCTGTGAAAACTTCCAACTATTCAGTAGAAGCAAGAGTCTATGGAACACCTGCCAGAATGGACTAGGCAAGTTTAATTGGCAATACTTAAAAGCCAGAATACAATTTATATTCCTTTTTCTTTCCCAGCAAGGAGAACTATAGCGGCTAACCAAGCCAGGTGTTAAAAGCATCATCCTTGGCCTTGCTCCTGTGTCTTTTAACAAAAATTTCACACAAAAAATTGAAGAGGCAATTTTCTTACCACCACTTTTACAAAAAGTTTTGCCTCCTCAATCATTTTTTTAAAAAAATGCCAGGCTGCTTTTAAGACAGAGGAAAATTATGAAGAGCAAGCTGGTGATGTTGCTGAGATCACAATAAATCACCAGAAAACTTCTCTAATATATGAAGATTACTGAGCAAAGCAGACAGATACACAATGTAAAAAGTAGAAATTACATGTATAGGAAAGAACAGAAAAACATTATGATCAATCAATTGAATTTAGTGAATTCTTCAAGAATTATAAAATGTTCATAGAACAGTTCTTAATTCTCAGTGTTCTGAAGTAAAGTAGTGAAACCCATCAAAAGTCATTTTTTTTTTATCGTGTTTGCAAAAATGCTGAAATATAGATCATCAGAATGCTGTAAGTCTATGTTGTAGCAGTAATTCAAACTTGTTTGAAGAACTTGTAGTAAACCAGTTAAAAGTTGTAGCTGTGAACCACAGAATCATAAATCATAGGATGGACTGCCCTTGGAATGTCTCCATTTCAGCTTTATGAAGAATTCACTAAATTAAATTAACTGTTTGATCATAATGTTCTTCTGTTCTTTCCTATGCATATCATTTTTACTTTGTATGTTCTGTACCTGTTTGGTATTGATCAGTAATGCTCTTGAGATGCCACAGTTCTTGGCTGTTTCTCCTTTCCAATCCATATCACTCTACCTGATCCATCTGCGATGTCAGATTGAGCCGCAATAGGGTTTTTCCTGCACCTTTTATTCTCTCTTATGGTACATTTCTATTTTTCCTATTGAAAACATTTGTTACTTGAAGTATTCCCTACAAGGGTTTCCGCCTTGTGGCTCAGTCTTCTAGACTAGAGCCAATGCACCCACAGTTGAGTAAACAATGGAACAGAGTAAACAAGTGTGCACTGACAACATTCACAACCATTTAGTGTTTAAACATGCCTTAAGAAAAAGGTACAACTTCCTTGATGGTAAAAATAGGTGTTCTCCTAACTTGCCAGGTGTTATTCCTTCACAGCTGCATCTTGCACCAAAGTTGAACAGTTTGGATATTTTTGTGTGACCTGCTTAAATGTGGAAAAACTCATTATTCAAAGGCTGTCAAGATGTACAGATAGAATAAAACAAGTCTCAGGTGCTGTGTATATTGGATTTTGCGACTTGTGACTACCAGGCTTTGAGTTCACTTGCTGTTGCTCTTCAGAATGTATTTGTGCTTGTGTGTGTATGTGTGTATATATATTAAGGAACTGAAATTACTTTATTTATTGTGCTTGTATATTTTAAAAGTAGCAACTAGTTCTTGCTGAAATGTAGTCTTGGCCCTATTTTGTCTCAAGGTCAGTGGTTCCTAAATATGGTGTAGGGATAAAGGAAGCCACTTTTGGTTTAAATTTGAAAAAGAAAAAGTGTTTACCTTGGGGTGGGGTGGGCAGTGCAAACAGATGTTTTTAAAAAAAGAAAAGGAAGGAAATGTGACAAATAAAATCAAGTGGATGGAATGAGATTCCAGGCCAAAAGGGAAGAGTGCAAGGAATCATGTAAATGTCCTCCCACATGACAGCTGTGAAGGAATAAACAGTATGCAAAAAACAAGCAAACTAGGATAGTGGTCCTCAATGTGAAAACTGGTCTCAACAATTCCCAGAGTGCTGTCTTCTACATCTCCCCACACATCATCTGTTTCCATGTGTGTGCAGAGCTACCGTACCCTATGTAACACTGCAACTAGTTCTGAATTAGATGAGGTGAAGCAGCCAACTTTTCTTTACAGTTAATTTCAAACTGTGTGAACAAAAAGCTACCAAGTTATAGCACCAGAATCTTGTTTTAATCCAGGGCACAAACCAGACTCTTGCTAAGCAATGAATGTGAATCTCTGGGGCACATGTAAAGTGCCTCTCTCCCTCTTCTGAATGGCTGCATCCAGGCTCTATTAATTCTGGGAACACAATTTTCACAGCCATAGATGTAGCACCTACCAATCAAGAAAGTTACAGGTCAGGTGGAGAGTTAGTGTGGTACAGTGGGTTGAGTGTTGGACTATGACTCTGGAGATCAGGGTTCAAATCCCTGCTTGGCCATGGAAACCCACTGGGTGAATTTAGGCAAGTCACACAGTCTCAGCCTCAGGGAAAAGCAATGGTAAACACTCTTGAAAAAATCTTGTCCAAAACAAGCCTGCGCCTTAGGGTTGCCATAAATCGGAAATGACTTAAAGGCACACCACAACAATAAAACACCATGGGAGGAAAATATTATAAATTTTTGTATTAGTTTGCCAAGTCAGCCCCTTGTCAAACACATCTGCCTCCAGTAGTCCACATTTCCCAATTATTCCCCAGTTAACCACTGCTTTCTGCTGTAACATTTTTGATTAAGAAAAAAGTAACAGATCAAGAGAGCCCTTAACCCTTGCTGAGATGCTGGAAATACAAAGCTTTTGGCCAAGGAAGAGACTCAGGCAAAAGCCCAATTCATACTGCCCTTTTTTGGGGGGGTTCACAGCACCAGTCTGATTCACCGCTAAGTCCAGAATGTACACCACTCTGCAGTTGTTTCCTTGGCTACTAAATGGCCTCTAATTTCCAAGGAAAGCCCTTGGAAATTCATTCCCTATCAGTGTTTTGATGAATTAGCTAAAGACAAGTTTCAGGCTGATGAATGTATTCCCCAAAGGAGTAACTGACCAGGTCTTCTTCAAAAGACACTGGCTAGCCATGAGCCAGTTCCAGCGCGGATTAAATTTAGATAGCCATCTCAATTTTACCTTTGAAGCAAGGTGGATAATCTCATTCTCTCTCACATACACACTGCTCCACCTATTGCTTTCTCCCAATGTGGTCTTTTGTTCCACAGGTATTTACAAAGGAACTGGAGATCACTTTGGCAAATGTGCTTTTTGTTTTGGACACAACTTCCTCCAGGGAAGGAAATCAAGATGCTGCTTGTTGGTTCCTGCCCAGTGTTTGCGGAGTAGCAGAACCCAAGAAGAGAGACATAACTAGAGGCAGGAGAGGTTGTTCCAGCAAGGGAACAGCACTGATAAGGCAGTTCATGTCCAGAGCAGGAGAACCGTCTACTATTCCTGTGCTTTAAATAAGGCTATGTGCAACTAAAAGATTTTTTAAAATGGGACAAAACAGTCAGTGGGCAGCTAACCCAAACTGGTCTGGAGCCACCAAAGGTGCCAAAGCTTCTAGGTGTTTGTCCTTCACCCCACACATCCACAGATCTACAGCCAAACTTTTCCACAGCAGAGGAAGACCTTGTTTTCACGCCATTATCATTGGCTCTATATTTGAACCAAAGTTCTTTCTACAAATCCTAGTCATAGAAGAGTGAGAAGGTGAGGACCTACACCTGGACAGGAAAGTCACTTCTCATAATGGTCCAGTGGGTAGTGTTCACCATACTGCTTGAGGTGACGCTCCAGGGATTCCTGCTGCTTTTGGATGTGCCAGGGCATGTCAGAGTAGACATCTGAGAAAAGGAGCTGAGGTTTGGGCTTCAACTTGCGTTCTGCCTCTTCGAAGGCCTCCATCACCTGGAGAAAAGGGGAAGAGAAGACAAAAATCCAATCTACATCAGCAGATGTGAGAACATGGGATCTTTCTGCTTCCACTTGTTCTGTCTGCAAGAATCAACTGCACATACTAGGGAGGCTATCATACAGTTAGGCCACCTACTCTTTTACGGGATTTCTTGCGCCAGATCTTCTCCTGCTCCTCGTCCCACCAGCCTCGTCCCACCATATAGTGCCGGAGACGAGAGATGGGGTGGTCTTGCTTGTCCCAATAGTTGACTTCATCCACTGAGCGGTAAGCAGAGCTGTCATCACTTGTGCTATGGTGCCCAATCCTGAAAGAACAACAAGCACTTGACTACTCAGTCAAGTTCCTTGGTCTCATCCACTGATAAAATCACCTCTTCCCAAACCCAGTGCTATCTGTCAGGTTTGTTTTCCATTTCTGCCTTGCAACTCCCTTCTTACCTGTAGGTCATGGCTTCAATGAGAAAAGGCTGGTTCTCTGCCACAGCACGGCGTCGAGCCTCCTTGGTAGCATTGTACACTGCAAAGACATCATTACCATCCACCCGGATGGAGTGGATGCCATAACCAGGACCCCTGGCAGCTACAAGATGGAAAAGATATATCAACACATTTGGAAACCAACACTTATGGTTACTATGCTTGCACCAAAACGGTTATGGGTGAAATCTGCCATATTTATTTATATGAAATAACTGAATATTTGCCTTCAGCAAAGCTTCGAAGGCAGTTTATAACCAAAATAAAACACAAACATAAAATAAAATAAAAAGTGTACATACATGGATATAAAACCAGTGAATCCTAGAAACTTTCATAACTGTAGAGAGTTTAAATGTATATGCCACTATAATAGAAAAGGCCTCATTGGCCCTTTGCAGTAAGGGGTACTGCAAAGGGCCAATGAGAGTCCTGAATCTCTTACACCGGCTTCACCCAGATCCCAGGGAGGGGCTTAGGGGAATTGGAGGCATCTCACATCCCAACATTCTTACCAATTCCATCACCGCGGTACTGCTCAGATGTTGGTGTGGAGATGGCATAACCATTGTTCCGACAAAAGAAAATAATGGGGCACTCAAGGGTGGCAGCAAAGTTGAAGCCGGCGTGGGCATCACCCTCACTGGCAGCACCCTCTCCGAAGTAGCAGATCACAATCCGGTTAGTATTCTCCCTCTTGATGGCATAGGCAGAGCCAACAGCTGCCAAGAGGAAGAAGGGAGAGAAATGAGAACAAGAGGAGGAAAAGGGATGATGCTTAGGCAATTCATTTTGGGTATGTGTTTGCAGAAGCAATTACTTCATTTCAGCCAATTCTTCTCACTGAAAAAGTAGAGGACCTATGTTGTCACCTTAGAATCTGCCAGAATCCAAGATTAATACCCCCTCAAATGGAATGGAACTTATGCACTACAGCTTAGAACAGTTGCTTTCCTGTAGGACTATAATTTTCAGAATCCCACAGTCCAGAGCCCTGCTGGTTGGGGAATTCTGGGATATGAGTACCCTAGGAAAGTAACTGTTCTGAGCTCTTCTATGAACACATGAAACAATCGTATAGCAAGCCAAACTACTGATCTATAATTAAAAGTGATCCAGAGTTAAAAACAAACTTGTCACATCATTCTACCCTCAAGTTTTGCATTTCTATGACTATTCATACAGTTTGGTTATAAAGATCCTTCTTTCACTCCATGCATCTGAGGAAGTAAACCAAGTCTATGAAAGTTTGTGTTACAACTTCCTTTGCACAGTTCTCAGTGGTGCTACAAGATTCCTTTGCATACCGATCTATTTGTTCTAGCTCAATACTGTTTGTTCTGATGGGCAGTATTTTCACCTATATGTATTCTAGCCCTGGAATACATAGGATGGCTCATTGTATCCCACCACTAGCATTTACCTCCCTCCCAAGAGGGAAGTATTTGAATCTGGTCGGGGCTTACCTTGTGGGATCTGAGTAGCTAGTGGGGATGATATTGTAACAAAGTGCAAGTCCTTGCAGCCATAATGCACAGGCATCTGGCGGCCTTTCCCAGGGTCACTGGTATTGCCATAGCACTGTGCCATGAACAGGTCCAAAGGGTATCCCCTGTGCAATAGTACACCTGGAAGAGCAAAAAAGGGACACCACCATGTTAGGTCCCGCTACCAATCCCATACTAATTTCTCTTAATATGCGAGGTATTTGGTCAAGTTCAGGATGAATGATATTTCTATAAAGAGATCTTATTTGATGGGCTACACTGGAGTGGGAAGAGAGAGAATCCTGCCATTTCAGTTGAGAAGGCAGCAATGGACTCAATCTATACTTGTCCCTCGCTGTTTGCGGACTTGCCATCTGGGGAAATCCGGAATGGATCCCCCATGAATCAGAAGGAACGACTGTATTTATGTTTCTGAGTGTGCTATAATAGACTTGGAAATACTGGCTAAAGTTTATCTGTCTACTCATATATTGATAATATGAATAACAGTTCCACACAACCAGAATGTTCTAATGTTTCTGTTGGGAATGGAGCAATATTCACAGGTGGGTTCAAAAATCACTCAAGTATGTCCTCTTCTCCCACCTCATTCATCTTTTTTTTTTTTGAACTTCATAAAAAAAAGGAAAAAAGGTCCAAAAATAAATACTTGCAAAAGAAAAATAAAAGAAGCAAAGCTAATTTACAATGACATTAATGAAGATCAATAAACAATTCAGCCTATAGACTGATTTAATGTGTGTATCTGAAAATTAAATTGCACAAAAGGTTTGTGTATTAAGAAATCTGCTGTGGCTACTGTCATTACAGTAAAAAGAAGAAGATTTTGATAATTTGCACCATATGTCAATCATCCTTCAAAGCAAAAGGTATTTATCCCAATGTCAGGCCAATATCTCTCTTCATTTAACTGTTTATAACCAATATGGAAATATAAAGGAAAGATGGAAGAACTGTCAGTTAGCAAGCTTTTGAAGAGCATGCAGCTGTTAAGACTGTTCCAGTGCTCATCTGTCATGTGCTGCCACTCAGTGGCTAAACACCTAAAAAAACACACCTTGCTAGGGTTGTAAGGAATACCCACAAATATTCTCATCCAACAAAGAATGTAGTAACAAATTCAGTCAGCCTGTCAAGAAAATAAAAGAAAAAAACTGTTTTGTATTTGAGGACATTTTTTCAGAAATGTTGTTTGGCCAAAAATGTGTTTTAGTTGAGCACAGTATGTTATTGCACAAAACAATTCTTCTGTGCAAATGATTTCCTCCCAGAAAGTCCTGAAATGTTAAAAATAATTGCAGAATTCTCAAGAAACTTTTGTTAATCTCATCTAGCAAAGGGAACACTTCTTAAATTATTCATTCCTGTATGTGAGAATAAAACAAGCTAAGATGCACATCTCCATACTTCAGCTCCTTACCTGCTTCCCGGTACTGTCCAAACACAAGGTCAGTGTCATCTAGGGCAGCTGCACTGCCAATGTGAGTGCCTTCCTCCCCGTAATTGGTCATGTAAAAGGATATTCGTCCCTATGAATAGAAAG